GGAAGACATTCTTCACCATGAGGGTAGTAAGGTGCTGGAATAGGTTGTCCAGGGAGGTTGTGGAAGCCCCCTCCCTGAAGGTGTTCAAGGTCAGGTTGGATGAGGCTGGTCTGGTGGGAGGTGTCCCTGCTCATAGCAGGAACCTGATGATCTTTAAGGTTCCTTCCAACCTTAACCATTCTATGATTACATGATCCATTTGCACCTTAAAGCTGCCCTGCAGTGGTCAGACCTCCCCTGCTGTCAGCTCAACACTTGCATCACCTGGTTAAGAACCAGAAAACTCCCATTTAGAAAGGAGCTCCAGAACAGCTGTAACACATGGAGCTTTATGCAATCTCAAACATGAAAGCATGATGCTCATATGAAATAAGGTGAGACATCTGCCTTTTAAACTTCTGCATCTTGACCTTGTTTTATGACTACTTGAGGTTTGACTCTTTTTCAATACAGAAATAAGATATTCAATTTTGTAAGTTTAATACACACCTTTAGCATAGTAACATAACTTTCTTTTATCCTTGAATAAAAAAGAGATAGCTTAAAAAAACAAGTTCCCTGTGCTGGAAGGCTACTGAAAGATCTTTATTTTTTTCCTGGAGTTCCTCTGACTAACCTGCACAGAAAGCAGAGGTAAAACTCTTGCCTTCCTCAGAGCTTGTCTTGCTGTCTTGGCATCAAACTGCAAGAACATAGCTACAATTAATACATGGTGAGATAGCACAAGATTTCTTTGTTTCACATATTCCAAAAGAGCAGCTTTTGAAGTTGTATGAAAGGCAACATCCCTTTTGAAAATCTCTACTGTTCGTAAGTTCTGCAGAGCAAAACATGAGCTCCTCTCATCTTTCCTTCAGCAGATGTGCTACTTCAAGAAAGCAAGAGAGCTCAGCAGAAATAAAACAGGTTGTTGAGACTGAAAGGGCAGAATACAACCAGAATTTGCTTGTGAGCTAGTGAAAAGCAAGAGTGCAGCTGCATAGAGTTTGCATAGCAGAGAAGAGTGGCTGGAGAAGGCTGGGAATAGACTCAATGATACAACAAGGCTAGAGGAACCCAGAAAATGTGGGTACGTGAGCTACTAGACTCCCCCCAAAGAGGTGTTTTTTGGAAAAATCTGAGCCAGGAATTGCATTGTACCTGCTGCAACTCCCCTGAAGACATCCACTGTTATGTCTCACCAGGAATGCAACCCTCTTTTCCAAAGAAGGCTCAGCCTGCCCTATGTGCTCTCTGTGTCTCAGTGGCCAAGGTGGCCCTGGCTTTATTCAGTGACATTTGGAAAACTGGTGTAATAATACCACATTTACAGAAATTTGTTAACCATGTGTCATTTACACTAGAAATGAAACAACTCCCTTGTGGGCTCTCAGAGCTTATACTTGCTACATATTTATTATTAATTTGGCAAGAACAAAGCAGTTTGAGAAAGGCAGGTTGTTCCCTACCAAATGTAATGATTCTATATGGTGGCCAAAACATCTGAGCTAAATTGGGTGTACCACATGCAGGGCAATGAAACATGAAAAAATGTCCACATATGAGTATCAGAAAATTCAATTGCAGGTTCTCACGAATTCCCCACGATTACATCTTCAAAACAGTTGCTTGGAGAGTACCTTTTCCTGAAGCTGACAACAGAACAGATACTTGAAAGGAATATAGACAGAAAGGGACAGACAAAACCAAGTTAAGAGTTAAGGAAAATATTGTTATTCTTCTGATTAGAACTTGCATCAAAACTAGGAACTATTAAGTAGGCAAAATAACTGATGAACAAAGTCCCTTGAAACTGGAAGAAAGGAAGGACTTCACCAGCAAGCTAGGTCCAGGCAAACCTCATGAAGTTCAACAAGCTCATGTTCAAGGTCCTGCACATGGGTCAGGGCAATCCCAAGCACAAATACAGGCTGGGCAGAGAAGGGATTAGAAGCAGCCCTTACCTGGCTGTACTGGTTGATGAGAAGCTCAACATGAGCCAGCAACATGTGCTTGCAGCCCAGAAAGCCAACTGTGTCCTGGGCTGCATCAAAAGAAGTGTGGCCAGCAGGTCAAGGAAGGTGATTTTACTCCTCTACTCCACTCTGGTGAGACCTCACCTGGAGTAGTGTCCAGTTCTGGAGCCTCCAACCCAGGAAAGACATGGAGCTGTTGGAGCAAGTGCAAAGAAAAGCCATAAAGATGATCAGGGGGCAGTAGCACCTCTGCTATGAAGACAGGCTGAGTGAGTTGGGGCTGTTCAGCCTGGAGAATTAAAGGCTCCAGTGAGACCTTAGAGCACCCTTCCAGTACCTTAAAGGCCTACAGGAAAGCTGGGGACAGACTTTTTACAAGTAGTGGTAGCATGAGTGGTAATGGTTTTAATGTGAAAAAGGGTAGAATCAGAGTAGATAATAGGAAATTCTTTAGTGTGAGGGTGATGAGACACTGGCACAGGTTTCCCAGGGAAGTTGTGGATGCCCCCTCCCTGGAAGTGTTCAAGGCCAGGGCGAATGGGGCTCTGAGCAACCTGGCCTAGCAGGTGTCCATGGCAGGGGTGTTGGAACTGGATGATCTTTAAAATCCCTTCCCACTCAAACCATTCCCCACCAGAACAAAGAAAAAAGATCCATGCTCCTGGATCCTCTTGTGAGCTTTATGCAAATAAAATACTCCAAGTCTGAAGAGACTGTGAAAGTTTAACATTAAGGCACAGATTTTTCTATGATCCCATCCCACCAGCAATACCTTCATAATGCTGGTTTGAAATTGCCCAGCAGGTGGGGCAGGTGAGCAGCAGAAGAATCTGTGCCAACAGCAAACTGGATTGCTGCTTATTTTCCTGCAGTGAATGCACCATGCAGAAGTGCCCCTTCAGAGGAGCCTTCTGGGCCCCCAGTTCACGGGCTTCCAGGGAAATGGATCCCTGGCCCACCTCTGTGCAGTGGGACCCGCCTGCTTCCTCACTGTGACCAGTACTTTCTGAGGATGAGATCCTGGCTCCAGAGAATTTGCAATCATCTCATTCATGGACAAGATTTTGTCCTGAAGGAGCTGGAGCACTGAACGTAGTAAACACCAAACACCCAAGCACATGCCTGCTGAAGAGTGTGAGCAGAGCAGCAGCAAACCACAATGCCTCTAGGGACTTCCTAGGTGGAACAGGGTTGGGTAATGGTGTAGCCACATCTGAGATGGTGCAGAAAGGCAGACTTAAGAAGCCAAAATACATACCATGTTAGCCAAGGGGCATGGTTAACCTGTTGTTCAGTGCCAACTGTAGTGAGTCTTTAATCAATTCCAATATATAATTAAAGATTAATTTTTAAAGAAGGAAACCACAGTGCCTCCAGGAATAACAACAGTATCTGTACCAAATGCATTCCACAGCTTTTTTTTCTCATTATTACCTTAATGAACAATACTTAATAAAGTTGTTACAACATTCTATAAAATAAAGAGTATTTTGTGGAAAAAAAAAATCTTAATGTGGTACATAATTCAGATGCATTTTCAGAGAGCAGCTCTGTCCCCACCATGTTACAGGCAGAATGACAATCCTGGCCCCAGTCCACACATCCAGAGACTAACAATGTTGAATTTTTATACAATGCACTCAGGTGTCATCTTCCACTTAAGGTTCAGCATTATATACTTCAGAAATTCATCAAGCAAGACCTTGAATAAACTTGTGTAAACCTGTACTGTCAAGATTTCCTTCCATTATAGAGAAGTGGAAAGAATCCTGCAGTCTTAACAGCAAAGCTGATCATCTTCTTGGCAAGGTATTTACCAGAATCTGAAATCTGGTAACAAACAAATCAACCAACCAAATAAAATAATAATAAAAAAACAATTTTAAAAAAACTGACAGAGAAGTTCTTAAAAAAAAGGTTACATTTTAGGCTTGGTACTGACTTCCACTATCAATAAATTGAACTCCTTACATGCAATAACCATAATGCATTTTTAAATATAAATTTTAATTTCCCCTCTGACCCTCCTAGTTTATCTGGAAAACATGAAGCAGTTTTCACTACAGAATTAATCATCAGTGCAAAACTTATTCCTCATGACACACGCCAGAATAGTCACAGTTTCAAGGTTACAATCCAGTGTTACCACCTGACAATTGGAATTGTCCTTTTAACTGGAAAGGATGCTCTTCATCTTCCATCTGGTAGCATGTGGGTAACTTAGTGAGTGAACATAACCTGATCCAGCCCACATTAAGGTAAGTCAGACAAGGCCTCCAAGGGGAAGCTGGGCTATTACCAGGCAGACATTTACAGAAGACCTACTATTGGGTCCACTGAGTAGATCCAGTTGCATTTCATAACTACCTGTTAATTATAATATGAACCATTATTTGTCATGCAGTAGGTGCCATAGACTGCTGCAAGAGCATGATGCTAGAAGATCCTCCCACTTTACAAATTCACTGACTGATAGTCCCTGGGGAGGTGCAAATATTTAAGCTAAATCAGAAGAGCAGAAGAGGAGCTACACATCAGCAATTATTGCTGCAGCATCAGAAAGAGGCCTTCTTCCTCTTTATTTTACTTTGACACAGCTGAATTTCCCCATGATCTAGTGATTAACCTTCTTTCCAAAGTAGAAATACTATTCTGTTCTTAAATGAAAGAAGTGCAGGTGTTTGTATGTATGCACACCTTGGCAGCAAGTCCTTGGAAGAACACTGCAGCATTCAAGTGCAGAGCTAACACACACAGCACCCATGAACTGAAGGCCAGGGGATCTCTGCTAGGAAAGACAATCTGTTAAGGTAAAGTTCTTGCTGGAACTTGTATGTTTTAACCAAACTCATACCATGTAAGTGGGATAATCAGAATGGTGTGACATGCTCTCATACAACTTACTAGTTATATTCTGGTTTACAAACTGTATCCTGTTAACTGCTGCATTTAACTGAAGCCAACCAATATAGAAAGGAATTGCTTGACTGCATCTTACTGATATAAGGAAGCAGCCTTGGATGACACGTTACCAACTCTTTTCAGACACCAAATATACTCAAGAGTAAAATTAAGACACAAGTGAGATCACTCAAAGGCTTGATAATTATTTTTATGTTGACTTTATAGCTTTCTTGGTTTCTTTAGGGAATTCCTGCACAGTGAAAGGAATGAAGAATTCCAGAAGGGAGTTGACGTCCTTCAGTTCCAGACTGTATTCCACTGCTATTTTCTCTGCAGTCCATACTTGAGGATTAAGTTTATGATTATTAAGAAGTGTCAGAGCCTCCACAATGGAAATTTTGCCTTTGGGAACTCTCTTAACATCTAGATCTCCCAAGTGGCCCAGTTTTGTAAGTCTCTTTTCCTCCTGCTTACTTGGAAGATGTTCACCACCTCCATCTTTTACCTAATGGTGGGAAGGAAAAGAAAAAGAGCTTAACAGCAGTTCTGTTTGCTATGCATACTGCAGCAGCCAAGCAGTTTTCCTAAATACAGCATTTCGTGTTAGCTTTCCCCATTTTCACAGCATGTTACTTTTTTTAAATGCCTCTTGTTATCACAAAAACTGTCAGTTCTTCCACAGCCATTCCATATACAATGTCAACCCCCACCCAAATTCTGAAAAACTACCATCCATTGAACTCCTAAGTGTTGTGCAGACTTAACAGCCCTTCATGCAAAGCAAACTACAGATTTTGGTGGCCAAATGAAAAGGCAGTAACCTAATATTTGGTACTGATTCACAACAAGGGGAAAGATAATGAAACAACAAACCTTACTACAAATTGGTATCCTTCTTCTGATCCCACTGGAAATCTGTTTAATGTAGTCTCTATCCCTTTCCTTTCATGTTCAGATTTCTTTAACCAAAAGGTATCCCTTCTTTTGTTCTGTCTAGAGACTAAGCTTTGGTGGACAAAAAAATAACTATTTTGCAGCATCATATGAAGTTTAATTCCCATGACTACTGCAGTGCTCAGACATACGAAGTCTCTTCCTCCCAGCCCTTTCATATTTCCAAATAATTTCCAAGCCATCTCTGCCCTCCAGACAGTGCCTTTTTTAGATTTAACTAGTGAATAACACTGCAAAAATAGACACAGTGAAAACCTTTCTTAAATTTAGGAAAGAACACTGTTTGCATTTTTAAATACTATAAAAGTGGCAAATTGAGAGACTATTTTATTGCTAGATTATTATAAAACTCTTATTACTGAATCAAGCAGCTAGAACAAAGTGATCCAGTAATGCAAGAGAGTATGAAACGTGGTGGAAAGAGGAGACTGAACTCCAGTTTGCATTTTACTAGAAGGGATATGCTTTGCATTCCAAAGAAAAGACTGCAGCTGTTGGCAATGAGGGAAAGAAATAATGCAGAAGGTTATGCAGAAAAAAACACAAGGCACTTCTTCAGCCACATAAGGCAAAGTCTGCAGAGTACAACATTAGCATCAGTAGTTCAAGACTCCACTAAAACATGAATGTCTTTGTCTTCTAACACCCATGCTCTCATAGTAGGTCAAATCTCTTCTAACAACTCTAGAAGAGATCTCTGGCAAACCCCTGCATCCTTGCAAAAGGCTGGCCAACTCCTGCCTGCCACAGAGGAAGCAGAAGTAGGAATTCAGGTGACAAAGTAAGACTGCTTAAGCATTTAAAATGTTGTATAATTACAATCTGTCACATGTTCAAGACCCAGGGTCAAACACAGTCAGTGCTACTGATGTGTGAGAACAATGAAAATATTACTTTTATCTATAAAGAGGGCAGTTTTTAGGCACTAACAGAGCATTTTTCTTTACAGAGAATTTGTGCCGAGTTTGAAAATCACCACCCTGGTGCAGGCACCCCTCCTGCAGGGAGATGCTCACCTGCACAGGTGGGTCTCTGGACTCAACATACACATCTTTTAACAAGGTGAGGAGCCTGTCGTCCTTCCTGGAAATCTCCTCCTGTATCCCCGGGTGGTCTAAAGGCAGCGGGGAGAAGAAAGGAAGAGGAAAAAAAAAAGAATAAGACATATTGGAGTCAAATTGCTTCCTTTGTTAGTTCTACCAGCTCCCCCAAGAGGCACGGGGAGGCTCCCCAGCCGCTCGGTGCTTCCCGGGAAGGGCTCA